AACCAACCAACCGACCGACCGACCGACCAACCAGGGGACCAGCCCTAGGAAACAAAAAACAACCCTAGAAAAAAGAGAGAAAAACAACGGATCCGCCTGACGACACCTGATCAAAACCAATCCAAACCAAAAGAAACCGCCCCAAAGCAAACCAAACAACAACCAAACCAAATCAGCACAAACCATCACAAGCAGCACCAAACTAGAGCAACCAAGCAAAAACAAACCAGCACAACCCAACACACAAAATCCGTCAAACTCCATAAAGCAACCAACATCAACCAACTGACTCCAAAAAAACATCTAACCGCCAGAGACGCCGCTTCTCCTCCGCCTCTTTGGGTTCCTCCGCCTCTTTGGGCTCCTCGGCCTCTTTGGGCTCCTCTTCCTCCTCCTCGGCCTGACAGGAGTTCCACCCCCTCCCTTCCGGAACAGGGCAAAGCGGGACGCACGTCCTAGCACATGCATGTAGATTATGTATGTATCTATGTGTGCAAGCATATATATATATATGCGTGTATGTAGCTCAGTGTAGTGTAGTGAAATCGCGGATTTGGGGTATGAGAACTACCCTATCCGCGGGGGGTCGGCAGACAAACTGACTGTCTCCGGCCGTCCGTTGCACTGCCTGCCCTCGGTTTGGAATCTGTCGCCATTCTCTCGGCTCGGGTCGAAGACCTAAAGCTGGATCGGCAACGGGGGTCCTGATCCTGCTTGTGAAGGGCAAGCAGGCCAGGCAACAAGATCCTGAAGGTCTGGTCCACCACAAATCCCGCCAAGTCCGGACTCCACAATTTGTGGGAGGGTCTGGCCAGGACACCGTCGATCCCACGTCACACATCTTTCGGCTACCAGATACCTCAAAGTCACAACCCCAACGAAAGGGCCAAATCCGACAAGGGCCTTGAAGCCAGGCGTTGGTGCAGGAACGCGGTTAGAAGAACAATCAGAAGTAAGGTTGCAAAGCAAAAGGCAGTCAAGGCGAGGAGCGCAGTGGAGAAAAACGCTTCTCAAGAGGGCACGGTGATGGCGGCGGACAAGGCCGGGCCCTAAACCTTCGCCCGGGGAAGGTGGCGGTGGACATTATGATCGAATGAGAGCATCAACTTTTCACAAGGCACCACGCTGCGGTCAAGCGCAAGCTGACTCCACGCTCCCTGGCCTTCGATGCCAAGGAGAAGGGGACGTGCCGAACAAACCAAATGGTTGTTCCCATCCTCCCTTCCGAGTTCCTGACCAGGGCCATTGGTCTGAACCTCAGGAAATCCACATCCATGGCCTTAGGCCTGGCAGGAAGATCAAGAAACAGAGGAGCGAGGGTAATATCTCGAGAACCACAGTAACCACTTGAGCCAAAATGCCCCCCCCGAGAGAGAGAGAGATATGGTTCAAGCTCAATCTGATGACAGTACTTGGCCCCATGACGTCAGTGTTCAACTTTGCAAGCATCGCAGACTCAAGAAATGTAATGTACTGTGATGTATTGTATGTATGCATGCATGCATGTATCAATGTGTGTGTACGTATGTACGTGTGTTCCGCTATGATGTGTTCTGTCATATATGCACTTCTGTGCGTATGCTTGTATGTAGGTATGTGTATGTATGTGTATGTATATGCATGTGTATGTATGTGTATGTATATGTATATGTAAAATGTATATGTATATGTATATGTGTATGTATATGTGCATGTATTTATGCTTGTATATGTATGTATATGTATGTATATGTATGTATATGTATATGCATATGCATATGTATATGTATATGTATATGTGTATGTGTATGTGTATGTGCATGTATATGTGTATGTATGTATATGTATGTATATGTATGTATATGTATGTATATGTATGTATGGATGTATGTATATGTATGTATATGTATGTATGGATGTATATGTATATGTATATGTATATGTATATGTGTATGTGTATGTGTATGTGTATGTATATGTGTGTGTATGTATATGTATGTATATGTATGTATATGTATGCATGTATGTATGCATGCATGCATGTATGTATGTATGTATGTATGTAAATGTATGTATGTATGTATGTATGTATGTATGAATGTATAAATGTATGAATGAATGTATGATGTATGAATGTATGAATGTATGTATGTATGTGTGTGTGTCTGTATGTGTGTATGTATGTACGAATGTATGTATGTTTGTATGCATGTATGTATGTGTGTATGTATGTATGTAAATGTATGTATGATTATAAATGTATGTATGTATGTATGTATGTATGTATGTATGTATGTATGTATGTATGTATGTATGTATGTATGTATGTATGTATGTATGAATATATGCATGTATGTATGTATGTATGTATGTATGTATGTATGTATGTATGTATGTATGTATGTATGTGTGTATGTGTGTGTATGTGTACATACATCAAGATGCATTTTCGCTATATACAAATATGTGTACACTTGTGCACATAGACATTGTGATTACTACCGGACTATTACATCGAACTCTTCAAGGAACTCAGAAGAATCGCACACACATTGCTCTGCCAGGCTTACGGAGCGTATGTTTATCGGGGGTGACTTCATGGAGCCTCAAACCTGTGACCTCGGAAGCCAGCAGATCAAGTGGCGCTGGTTGGTGGATTCCGGGTTTCGACCCTGTGACGCCTTTTTTCCCACGGGGTTAAAAGGTAAACCCACCGTTGCAGAAAAAGGGAAGCCTTTCGTCGTGATAACTTACTGGAAAGCAAAAGGAAAGCAAGATGCCTGCAAAAAACAGCGCTCCCTAGGCCTCTGCCTATTTTAAACATCAACCCGCAAAAAACAAACTGATTTAACTCATTTAGTTTGAACATGTTTAAGCCATTCAAAACCTGAAATCTAAGAACTCCTGTGTCGCCGCACCTCCGTCTTCTGCTTCTTGGCCTTGCCACCGACGACATGCGACAGCCCCAATCGCGTTCGTCTGGACCATCTTCGGGAACCCTCCAAATGGGTTCGTTTTAATCCGCTCGGGCAGGCTAACTCGTGTTTGAAGCCGGAAAAGGGGCCGAAACACCAACCATCCACTCCAACCCCATTCATCAACCGCATGACAAATGGCAAGCGTATCTTCATAAAGGCTGAAACTCAAATCATCCAATCCCAAAAAGGCCCAATGACTCCTAGGGCCGACGCTCAAAAGGCTTCCTGTTGGTCCTGCTTTGAAGGGCAGGCAATGGTATTTCAGGGTTCCATAATGAACGCTTGATGGTCTCCAGTTCAGAGGAAATCCTTCTCTTCTTGCGGCAACACCACCCTATGAATGCGCCAGGCTTACTGACGTCTGGTCAACATTCGCGCAGAATTTCTGACCAAGGAACCTCTTGTCCCTCCGCGTCCGTTTGCCTCTTGTTGTTGCGTCGCACCATCGTGGCCTTGGCAGCGATTCCAAGCTCACACCCAGCCGCGAGAAACGGACAACCCTTCTTGCGACAAAGGATTCGCACATAAGAAGAAGGACAAGTACCGCTGGGAAGCTGGGTGGCTTGAGCTTGCAGGAAAACAGGTCTAACTTGGTCAAACTATGCCTCGACATGCAGCGCTGCAGACGTACATATCTCAAACAAAACGGCGACCGGCCTGCTCGCTCAGAAAACGTAGTCCTCAAGTATGCGCTACAAGCAGTGTCCAAGGATGGTTTGTGGGACCACATCTACAGCAAAACTAGCAGCTCACATCTTGGTAGCAGCCAGGTTCAATGAGGGCCAATCAATGTGGCCGATAACAGTGGCTAGGGCGAACATTAACATGCATTTGCGAACCCAAAACGCCTTTGCATAGGCACATACGACTACCAAGTGACAAGTTCCAGATAGGACCAGCCAAGGTTTGCGCATCCAACCGGTACTATGCGAACACACACGATTGGGAGAACCCCGGGCAAGCTCGAAAAGTGAACGCAGTCTTGCTGTACCCAGAAAGAACTGCCAATATCTACAGGTGCTGTTGCCCTGATTCCGGAAAAGGAGGTAGGGCTTGAGTGTTGAACCCACTTGGTAAGAAGGTCCTAGCAGGACATAACTGAGGCAAATCGGGTTGCTTTCTTCCCTTATAACCCTGGTCATAGCCTACTTATATAGATTGGATTGAACATCCAAGCACTTGCCCACAGCCAGTCGTGAGAAAAAATGAGGTCGCGGCTCTACGACTGTCAATGAGCACCAGTGAGGCCGAAACGGCTTCGGAAGGCGCCAACTCAAAACGTGCCGAAGCCGCTCGCACTGAGGGGTCGCCTATGCTCTAGGGCTCAACCCCCATTTAAGGACTGGTTGGCCCAACTTGGATGATGACAATCCTCGGGTAAATCATGGTGGGCATAAGAACCCACCTTGTTTTAATGGTGGCTTGAACCCCAGGGTATGGGTGCGATGCTTTAATAAGGAACCCTTTCGCATGATATTGGGGCTTGTGTCCACCGACCATCTGTATGTTGGCGCTTCTTCATGGAGTTCATGGCCGAAAAGCCGTTTCAATGTGAGAAAATTCGCAATACACCGAGCAATGCCTTGTGATTGGTCGATTTCGGAGGCATCGGCAGCAACGCACAAAGACATGGGCAAGGGGCATCAGCAAACAAAGATGCTGAACAAGTCCACTGTACCGGGAAACGCACCAATGTGAGAAATGCTGTCCCTCTGGTGCAATAATAACAATTTGTCAAAGAATCACGCCCTCCCTCCCCAGTTCCTTTGGGGAGCAGGGTTTGCCTCCTGACCCCTGAATACCCCTGGGCCTCGTCAAAAGGAAGATTCTGCGCCTTTAGGACATCCCTTCAATCTCCCAATGGGCGGGGGTCCTCTGCAGGATCAGGCAAGGGTTTGAAACGAGGAATCAGGTCAAGTAGCTTCATAGGTTGCTTCTTCCTTCATCACAGGTCGTCGTTTTTCCTTCACAGGTCGCTCGTTATTTGCGGGAGGTTCCTCGGGCTCCCCCTGTTTCGAGCAAAGCGATGTGGACCACTCCAGCCTGGGACCCGGGTGCGGTGCTTCCAGATTGGCCAAGACCTGAGAGGCGTCTGACGACAGTCTGGGATCCCTTGGGGGTACCCTCACTTGTTTGCGATACCCCGCATTTGGATAAAGCCAAAACGAACCCCAAAAGGAAGCAACCTGGAAGGTGTTGCTTCTTTTTTAGAAGAATCCTTTTGTCGCCAGTGGACAATGGAGCTTGAGACAACCGCCGTGGCGAGAAGCACACAGTGGTGGTCAGCGGCGCAACCCCACTGTTTGGCCTCATGTTCAGTTGGAAGGACAAAAAGGGAAAGCAACTCTAGACAGATCCCGCTGGTCATGAGACACATCCACTTGACACCTGTTTCGCCTGGCCCAGGACAGTATGCTCAAAGCCGGGCTGGTGACCAAATTATGCGAAACAACTTAAGTCAGCCATGGTATTGTTTTGACAGGTTTACTCAAAAAGAAACATCGCTGAATCCCCAGGACTAGTTTGAAACAATCTCGCATATCATGATTTGACACATCTAGAGATCCCAGCTGAAAGGCGACCTATGGGACAAGGCGGCCGCACCAAATGCCGACCCTTGGGCCCCGAATGCCAACGAACCCACGTGCCCAAGATGACAACCTGTCAAAGGGGCCGGTTGCACCTGTTTCCGAAACCCGAAAAGGTCCCAACGAGTTGAAATCTTGCTAGCCGGCCTCATTGCGCCACAACTGCTCTGGCATGGTGTGGGCGGGCGCTTGGCTTCTTTGCAGCACTACCTGAGCTCGGGCGCAAATTGGCCAGAACCTCAGGACACTGAACTTCACCAGGCAATGCATAATCGCTAAGAATTGTATGATGGGCGTATGACTTGTTGTGCAGTGTGTGAATCAACTATGATTTGCAGTTGTACCGTTTGAGGACCCCAAGCAAATCAAACAGAATGTGAAGAAGTCCAACGGCAGGCAGGCAGGGCCACAGGGTTCGGCAAAAAGGCCTCTTTGATTTCTCCTGTGTACATCAGCTCAACTTCACAAACAGAGACTAATTGCCCACAACAAACGGAGATTGGCACTCAAGCTGGTTGAAAAGGAACATACACTGCGAGCAACGAACTGACACTTGGGAGCAACCAGCAACGAGCCGCTTTCCAGGTCTTGGTGCACGCCGGGCTGCGCTCGTGTGGTGCGCATCGGCGCGATCCTTCCAGTCCTCCACTTGCTGCTTATGCCACTGCCTGCAGGCCCATGGTTTATGGGTCGGCTTTCCGCCAGAAGCCAGCAGAAAAATGAAATTTGGCTATCATAGTCTAAATATAGGGGCATCATAACCTAAGTTCAAGAAACCCATCATACCCAGAAGAGAGCATGAGAAGCAAGCCATAACCTGAGCGAGGGACAACCCTTAATTTGCACCATGTGGTTGAAAGAGCCCCAACCTTTCTCGTTTTCTCGACTTTTGCCAGCGACAAGCAGTCTGAAGAGTTTGGAAGGAGGGGAGAGACAAGAATCAGCTTCAAGGTCAGCTTCAAAGCGGTTGGCTGCAAGGACACCTCATGTGTGACGGCGTTGACTTTGACACCATCCAGGCAGAGTTAAGCTGGTTGGCCCAAAGCACAAAGGACGGATCAAGACTCAGCTTCACAAGGCACAAGGAATCTTGACCTCAACAACTTACACTCTGGCTTCTCAACCATTGGCACTCAAATGATGGCGATCACCCCAGTGCGAACTCAACCTACGCCAGGAAAGGCTGCCAAATGATATGAGTAGTTTCCTGTACTTTCCTTAAAGAAAATCGGCCCACTCCATCAGCCAATATCATGCACAATCATGTATATCTTAGTTGGCACTACCAATGCTTTGATGTTGTCATCCCCACTTTTGAAACTCCTTGCTAAGCTGCCCAACAAGGGTGTGGTCGCGCTGCCTGGCCTGTTTGCAGCGAATGTGCTTCAGAATGGCTGTTCTAAAACTGGGGGCTCCCTGATGGCTATTTCAAGAAGGACAGCACAAAGAGAGCCCGCTGAGCAACCTCGGCGATCCGAAGCCTAAGCTAAAATGCACCTGTGTTGCCCGGCCTCATGATCCGGGTTCAGCCCTTTGATCAAACAAGTGCACATGTGAATATATGTAATAAATACATACATAGACATACAATGTACATGCATATTATACATTATGCTATAATATAATACTCTGCATGTTCTTGTTGCCGACACCTTCGTGACCAGCAAAAGAAAAAAAACATGTGACTCTGGCGCCTGGTCATCTCATTGCAGGCTTTGAGCCTGATCATCTCCGCGGAGCATTGCATGTGATCCTCGCGGAGGCTACCCGTCTCAGGTTGGTGTAAAGATAAGGCAAAGGAAAGCCCATGCAATGTTGGGGGATGCACTATTTTGTCACATACCCACCTGAATTTTGACGTCCCAGTGGATGAGCCAAGGAGCCCATTCTGGAGGAAGGTGGTCTTTCGGGACCAGTCAGGTGCCACATTTGCCCATCAATTCTCATACTCCACCACTAACACGTGCCATGTAAGAAAGTGCGCCTGGTTTCCCCAGCCCAGAAAGCCTCTAAGCGAACTTGGAAGTTCAGGGCAACCTCGGCCCTTCCTAATTTCGGACGTGGGGGTCGCCTTGACATCCCGCAAGGATTTGCTTGCTCCCGCGCATTTGATGCAATTGCTGCCGACATGCTCGTGAGCGATCTTGAACTCTATGTGAGTCGAGGATGCTCTGGAAGTGCTTTCCCAGGAATGGGAAATCTTGGCAGGCTGACACTCACCAAAACGCCCCAACCCTTCCTCTGGATCTATGAAAGTGCCGCTCTGACAGCTACAATTGAAATGGTGATGAACACTACTGTAGTAGTAAATTCCCCAATCGTGTCATTTGACAACTTGGGATCAATCCAAAGAACCATGCTGAGAAAGGGCGACTCCCCGTTTGGTGGTGGATTTTTCGCTTGTAGTATTTTGAGTCCTCATCAGAATCCGAAACTGCCCCGTTTTCCAACCAAATATCCATGCAAGTGGACAAATTGTTCAAAAAGGACCGTAGTCTTCCCCTCTCCCATGCTTGCAAAAGGGGTAACATCAACCAACCCAACCAAAGCAACCGCAAAAACTCCAAACGGCGACAGACCCGGGCTCCGCGCCTCCATGGTCCTGCTGATGTACTGCGCTGGCGGCAGCGCGTCATGCAGCGGACCCAAGAGCTGGCGGCAAGCGACCACCACCTCGCTCCGATAAAACGAGTCGCGGGAAACTCGCAACACAAACCCCCATACCAAAGGCAAACTCTTATGCCAAAGGGAAAGTTTGACAGAAGGCAAACCCCCATACCAGAGCAGAACCTAATATGAGTTGAAAAGTCAATTTAAAAAAGAGAGAACCCAATATTAATATGAGTCGTAATCAAAGGCAATAATATGCTCAGCATTGTTTCATAATTTTCAGTATTTTCCCATTGCATATCACCTCACGAAGGAAAGTCTCTTTGAATGGGACAAAGGAGTGATGTTCAAAGCCATCAAAAGAACAAATGCAGGAAACTTAGTTGAGAACCATCCGAAAAGGGGATCGATCCTTTTCCCATTATATCCCATTATTAAGCCTTGCGAGTTTACCCTGTGTGGCTTTTCACCACGGACACAAAGCATGGCATGCCGGCTATTGCATGCTTGAGCTTGGTTGGACCATCGCGAGCCACATCAAAATGTCTACAGTTCCCAAGCCCCAAGAGACAGAAAGAGTGTGTGTATGGCGTGTGTTCTACTATCTGTAAGTGTCCGGGGGATGCATGGGCGGGTGAGCGGGCGGGCGGCATGTATTGCATCCCTGACCACTTTACTTGAACAGCAACATCAACGAGCACAGAATCCACCAACAGCATATCAGTTGAAGCACCATAGGAGTGAAGCGTGTACCATATTGAATGACACCTTAATCCCTGTTGGGCATGGGACATCCGCAGGGTTGTCTCAATTCCCCTCAAGTTCATGACCACATCGTGACCCAGGAAGGACCCAGTTCACTGCTTGCCATGGCGCGCTGTTGGCAGCAGACAGGCGGGACCTCAAACGAGTTGGCCCCGATGCTTTCCCCGATGCTTTCCCTGATTGGACTTTGAGTGCAGCAAGTCTGGAAGTGAACATGCACACTGGCAGCTTCGTTTTGAATGGCAGCTACTTGGGTTCTTCTTGACACCTGAAACATGCTGGGGCGATGTATTCAAGATGTTGATCCAAACCACCTTTCTCTATGGCGGAGCCAAGAAGACTCCAGGTGATCATCTCTGGTGAAAACACTTGCGCGCCATCCGGCACTCCAAAACTGATCGCTTGCAAAAGCAATTTGGAAGCAATTTTACCTTCGCGCCCCTCTTTAGTGGTTTAACATAGACGGCCCCTTCCAGAAGTATGTGCTGATTGGAGGAGGACAACAAACACGGAGGCCAAGCACAAGGAAACAGGACTGCTGTTTTCTCATCCCTTTTCATAGAAAGACATGCTTGCTTGGGACACACCCATGGTGCCAAGTGTTTCACCCCTCTTTCCAGACCCAGCAAAGCGGCTCTCTTTTCAGTCTGAGGCCAAAACGATTGGGATCGTACGTCTGAGCCACCGCATTGGAAGGATACCTGACGCAGCTCCAAGCGGATCAACAGGACGTGGGAAACAACGAACGCAGGCAACACTACCATTAACTCCACTACTACAAACATCTCTACAAGGTGGCATGTTAAAAACACAAAGAAAACTCTTTCCTTTAGAAGCCGCATGGAACACCAACCAAATCACCCCAGCAAATGACATAGATTACTGCTGCTTTCTCCGCATTCCTTCCACTTGGTGATGAATGTCAAGCTCTAAACAGGTCTACTATGTGTCCTTGTTACAGTCTACAACCACCAGCTAGCAGACCCCCCAAAGGACTTGCCGCTTTTCATCCGAGACTTCCGTTCGCACTTGCCCGCAAATGCAGCGTGAGGACCGCATCTCCTGAAGATGGTACTGGATATTTGGCCTTTTGCCTGCTTTGAGCGCTTGGAATTGGAGGTGCGGGCCAACCCCTCCCCCCCTGCCTCACCAAACTTCTCATGGACCACCAACAGTAGGGCGCCCTGCTTTGCGCTACAAAGGGTGCCAATGTGTCATCTGGAAACATGAACAAATACCAGCCCCCTAATTTGCCAGCACCCAGTGCAAACATTCTTCAAGCATGAGTGAAGCACGTTGCACAATTCAACAAAACATTCTGATATGAATCGCACAACCAACATCATTTACTGTGGCGCACCGAGAGGAACCTCACAAGTAGGTCCTTTGAACCTCCACAAAAGCACCTGGCTGAGGTGCCGACCTTCTGGTAGCTGCAGCTACTGGCAATCGTCTTACCTGGGAGGTCATGTCTTGCCGAGTTTCCCACATATTGATAAATGTGGGAGCCGCACAACTTGGCTCAAAGCACTGCCTCTTGCCAAGCAGTATTCTTGTGGCCCTTGCCTAAATCTCCCTGGCCCGTCCTTTGGAACTGAAGCCCGCCCCAAATCTGCGTCGATTCGCAACTTGAATTTGGCAGAGCTCCGAACCCGTTCGGGAGCCCCAAACCCATTGCTTCGGGAGACTTTGGGAGGCGACATGTACTTTTGCGAGTAGGTTCTGCTACGTGAAAGCAAAGTGATGGCAGACCCAGAAACACAGGAAGAATCTCAGTGGATCGTACCACGGCTACATGCTCGCAACTCACAAACTGTCCTCATGCCACCGCTGCCAATAATCAACCAAGCACAGGAGGCTTTGGTGGAGGGTGGTCCGGTCATCGCCACGACGCGTCCACCCAATACATAGCTTGTCATGCGATATGTTTGTCGGACGTATCGTATACATTATGTTGCCGGTATTTTTCCCGAGGGACGCAAACAGCACGTCAGACTCACAGGGTGCAGTCAAAACCAGCACTGCCAAGGTGGGCACCACATTCGTCACGGCCACAACTGCTGTGTAGCTCATGATCCTTGTAATCCTGTCAATGCGACAGGCAAGTTCTCCAGTGATTCAAGCATGCTTCTTGCGAGCTAACCAAAGGGCATGTCACCTTGTGGCCAAAACACGTATGTAGCATCCACAAGGCTTGCAGGGAACAGCCAGGCCCAAAGAACATCCCCTTACTGTCTTCGGAAGGACATTCGGAATCCTGAGATTGTCGGTTTCTCAGAGTAATTAACACTGAACATAGCTAGCAACGTCACCTGGAGAACCAGCATCTGTCCTGAACCATCAGGAAACATGCATAATCTAAAAGACATGGTCCAGCTGCATGTAAAAAACACGCTAGGAACCTTTTCAGGGGTCGGGTTGAAAGGGGCCCCATCATGAAACCTACAAAAGGGCAGCTGGTTCCAACACATATCCACCTCGTCAGCGCGGATCAGTGATTCAACGCTGCTTCAAACTTCAAGCCACAGAGTTGAAACATACCCCGCCCAAGAACATAGGGCAAACAACAGAGCACAAAGCAGCGCCATCTGTTGGGATCAGACCCCAAACATCTTGTGCTTATCTCCACTTTCCCTGCCGGCACCAAGGCTTGGGAAAAAACTCCAGCGATACCAAACGTGGCGCTTTCAGGTGCAAGTGAACGCCGGGGAACTGGTGGTGGTATGTCTTTGAAGTTTGAAGCTTTGATTTGCTTCAGATCCCTGTTTCGCCTGTTTGGTGAAAGGTGTTCCTCCCTTCGTGCCCGGGAAAGAAACAATACTGGGCACTGCTTCAGGACATGCAAAATATGTTTGGTATGGGTGGAGCAAACTAAATAATGCTTTACTCTCTGTCATTGTCCACAGCTTGGATTTCTACCTTGTGAATGATCTGGTAGGATCTCTTCGCAGGATGACTGGACCACAAAACAGGTTTGAAGAGATTCTCAAAGCTGCTTTTGCCAGCTGGGCTAAACTCCAAAGTTACGAGACCTGACCAGACTCCACGGATGTCCAGGGATTGATCTTTTGGCGCTGAAGTAAACCGCAGTTTGGTCGTTAGTTATACATGTGTTTCAAAAACCCTATCAGGGGGCCCTTGGACCCTCTGAACGGGGATAGTGCCTGGAACCTCAGGCCCATTCACAGTTGGGCACCCTTGGTTCCATAAGATGCGTACCAGCATGCCGGGCACGGCCCCCTTTTTCACAGGAGAAGCACTGGACACACCTTTTGAGGGGATTCGATCAAGTCGATAGCACGCCTTTCGGCCTGGACGCTTCTTTTGCCTCCCGCGGCTCCACGACCAAAGCGGCGGGTTATGGCGGGTTGAGGGCGGGAGGGTTCTGGAGAGAGACTTGGGAGTTTGCAAAGAGAGACACCCTAGGGATCCCTCTTGGGCTAGGCTCAAAAAGGCCACGGTAAACCCACCGTCAAAGCCAAATGTTGGCTGGGAAGCTCACTTTTGGTTTCGGGAAAGAACCACCTGGCCATTTGAACTTGCAAGAATCCATAGCATGCCCCCTAGCTCCCACAAGCCGAAGTCCATGTTTCAGCAGAAGACCCCCAAGGTTCCGGGATCTTTGCCACATTTTTTTTGTTTTAGCGTTTTTGTTCATATTTACGTGTTGTGTGTACCTCCGAATTATTGCTCAAATCACTACCACGGTTCCCTGCTAACATGACTGAAAATCATGAGCAGTCGCATCTCCAACCGCGGATGCGCGTGTAAGATGACTCCTTTGGGCAACAAGGTACCAGGACCTAACGACCATATCTTCGGCAGGTGCCCTGTGGGAATGGGTTCCCAAGCCTCAACAAGGGGGTCAACAGGGAGGCTGGAAGCTGCAAATCGTCCCTCCAAGTCTGGTTTCCCTTTGGAGAAATATGCAACTTAAGTTTGCCAAGCACATGCTGACCGCTCCAAGTTCAAAGCACATATTCCTAGAGGAAGAAATAATACCTACCTTGGGTAGCCTTCCCGTTTTAAGAAATCATGGAGCAGTCTGCCAATCTCGACTCCCAATGCGCAACCAACTACCAGTGATGCTGTCCACCGTTCACATGGGTCTCTCTATCACCGGGACCTCGAGCCATTTCTCATCTTTGATAGAAACGGATGACTTTAACAGTGGGGCCAACAGGTCATGCCCGTAGGATAAAGGGAAATAACCCCACGGATCCCCGTTGTCTGACTTTGACCCTCAGAAACAGCCATGACGAGGACCCCAGTTGAATCCGCGCGCCTCAAACGCCGGTCGAGAAAGTGTACGAGGAGCTTTGCGGTGCGTCGCCGGCACCTCCCAGAGCTTCTTCGGAGCTGTGGGGCATGCAACCAACACCCAAATTCCGGTCTGAAAAAAAAACTCTTCACCATTTCAAGGATTCCCCTATCTTGGGCGACACCACCGCCCTTGAGTATCATGATTAAGCCATTTCAATTTATCTATGGGAAGCAGTGAGCTCCATGGGGAAAAAGGGGGTGGCCCTTGTGTGCCTGGATGCTAAATGGAAGGAATCAAGATCCATCCCCATGCGTTCTGCATTGGGGAACTCAAGCTACAGACTACATGCAACTTCGGATTCAGGTGTTCATCTTTCGTGGGACGTCTGGAAACAAGAAGCAGTTGACGCTGACGCTGATCACTGGGACGCCGCAAGCATTTGCACCAACAACGTGTGAATGACCACTGCACCCACAGAACATGCGAACGATTGGCACCGAGCGACCAACAAGCCTATGACACCAAGCTGGCGTATAATTACTTGCGAGACACTCGCATTCATACCGCTCCGTCGTATGCTTGCCAGGTTTGCTTGGGCTCACAAGCCATAGTTTCAACATAGGTTCAGCACGCTGCAGATCAAAATAGATACGCCCGCGGAACCTAAGCAGCGTGCAAGGTGTGTTCCGACATCATGAGAAGCACTGCTGACATGTCGACGCTTTCCAGACGCACCGTAAAGCTCAAAGGGAATCAACTAGTCATAAGAAGCCCCACCCCTGTGCACCATGATTAAATACAAGCCAAGAATTCTGAGCACATGTCTCCAATCATCGTCTTCACCTGCTTCACATGGACATTGCATTTGTGCGATGGTTGTGCCTCCGATTAAAACAAAAAGACAACAAACAAGGAAACCACGCTTTGGGGCCCTATTTTGGACACATTCCCATTTGTAGGAATGCTGAAACGCCAAATGATCTCTGGTACTGAGACTAGCTCACAGTGGCTTCAATGATGGCTTGAACACACACAATGTTCAATGGCATGCGGCATATCCTTCAGCTCATCATGAAGGTCAACTTTCTGCTCACAACATGGCCCGACAAACGTTGCATTGTGTGGCAGTACTCTGCGGAAGGCTAACATGGGAAACCCAACACTCCCATATTGGTAGAGCAATCGCCTGTTGGGACACCTTTTGCGGCGTCCGTGTGCATTTCCCGAAGCGTTTAGTGAGGCACTCTTAGACTGCTGGAGGCTCTTGTCAGGCCCGTGCCTCAGACTCGAAGTCGAAGCAGATTCACGGCCGCTAAAGAAAACACATGCTTGATGTAGAAACAAATGCGTTCACGCGGCCCTACTCATGGCCCAAGCACTATGTCGTTCACTACATTTGCACAAGCATTTGGCCTGGCTGCAGGAAGGGTTTGCCGATGCTCACTTGCGCGAGGAGCTGTTGCTTTGCTCAATGCCAAACTCTGGTCCATATTTCCGGGGAAGCCAACGTGTAATAAAGTCAAAGATATCCCGGTTGCCCTCAGACGATCGCTCAGGGCGGCCACTGGCGTAGCCCCCCTCCCGCCTGGAAATTTTCTTTCCGGCTTTCCTGTACACTTGGTCAACGCAGGCCTCGGAGAGTTGGAGATGTGTCCAAAACTCGGGGGACTCTTCTTGAATGCAATTTGAAGGGAAACCACCAGGAAGCCGACCATTTTTAAGGGGTCCCTATGTTGGACAAACTCATAGAATGTCTCCAAATGGGAGTCACACATAAAAAGACGCTCAAGTCGCTGTACTGCGGACCCCCCTCTTGCGTGACAATCCTTGAGCATCCCTTGGTGAGCTTTGCAGCTCCAAAGCCACACACACAAAAAAATAGCACGCAAAAGAAATGGCCCGAAACAGGTTGCAGCCATTGTTTCTCGTCAAACGCATGAGCTTTGAGCCACTGAATTACATTAAACAATCGCAAGGAGCTGGGGCTTGCCTCTGCCTTACCTTTCGGAACCCTGAAACTCTACGGCAAGGCTACCGTGAACTTGTGCGGGTCGCCCACAGATCCCAAAGTCAGTTGACCCTAAACAAGCTCTGAGTCCAACAATATAACCCTAAACCCTGATCCTTCGAGTCAGTTGATCCAGCCCTACAGTTGATTGACCCTGAAACAGCAAACCTGAACCCTCAAGTTGACCCCAGAAAAAAAATATGACGCTGAGCGGATAGATCTAAAACCTTCAAGTCGGTTGACCTGAATCCATCTGAAACCCAAGGGCTCAGGTGTTTTGTTTTTGCATAGCTCTGGCAGTAGCCTAACCCTGGCACAGCTTGGCGTGCACAAAAGGGCGGCAGCTAAGTCTACAATTTAGGGTGGGCTAAGGTTAGGTTTTCAGTTAGGCTTAGGGTAAGTCAGGGCAGGTTTGTCGATTTAGGGTGGGTCAAGGCGGGCGTAGGGCCAAAAAACACCCTTTCCAAACCCACAAATAGAAACTCACACCCTACTTGAACCCTGCCCACACTCTCTGGGTTTGCAACATTGGTCGGCCGCAGCCGCTGCAAGGAACCCAGACTAACTCCAATACAGATCCAGAGCCATAGCAACGGTAGGCATGACAAAACATGGAAAGAGCCATTGCGCCGGGCACAAACAAGATGGAACGACTTCAGGTTGCGAGCTGCTCCTTTCAGTGCAGCTGCCTCATTTTCGTTGGGAAGCACCCGCTCCATATAGACAAGATCGCGGGGATACGGCTTTCTCCTTCAACATCTACTGAGAAGGGGGGGAGAGGGCTGGGACCCTGGCGACGCCTTTTTGTGCAGCACCTCAACGGGGGTCCTAGCGACGCCTTTTTGGGACTCAGCGCCAAGGCCGTGGCTTCCTCCGTGGCCTCCTTGTGAATTGATGATGTCCCCTCAGGGGACTCGAACTTCGAGCAAAAACACGTAGTAAATAAAATGAATAAATAAATATATATATATATATGAATACATCATAATATGATATATACTGTATCAAATATCATTGTGTATGACATATACTACCATACTATATGTTGTGTATATTATATTAGCAAACCCCAGATGAACAAACAAGCATCCAAAGGTGGATCAACCGGGATGGCATCCAGTTTCCATCAACAACACCTGCTTTTTTGCTTCTTTCAACAGCAAAGGACCAAATAAGTCGTCGATACTGTATGGCTGCTTCAAAGAAAGCAGCCAAAAAACGTACTTAATTGCCTCTACAAAGCTTGTGGGTTGAGTAAACAAATTACAAAGCAAACCTCAAGTCTCATTCGCAGTCTGACACAAAAGGAAACCAGCATGACAGGAGAAATCATGTTGCATCGTGTGCAAAACCATCCTAATCAGTGGCGGCGTTCTGGTTTACACCATCTCTCTGGCAAGCCTGAGCTCCCCGCACATGAATCTGAGCATGTGGTTCCTGATAAGCTCTGCCTGAAGTTGCCTCCGGGTCCTGTCGCGAGGATCTGCCAGTTTGGTCCCTTGAAGTACCTTCCGGGATACCAAATCAGACAACAATCCGAGCATGGCACCTTGAAACTCCTGCAGGGGGGATCCTCTCCATGTTTAAGCTTTCAGTCAACCCTTATATTAATCGGCTGACCCCGGAAATTTAGAGTGTGGAATGACTCACAGAAGTCCCGGCCACCCACCGGTTGCCAAAAGGAACACCTTCCCATCGATGTGTCAGGCAAATCCCCTGGAAATGCCCATCCGACTCACTCGACTGAGATCCAAAGAGTGCAAGACCAGATAGAATCTTGATCATGACTGATAAGTATTCTATTAAGATATCAAAGAACTCTCTGGAGACTAAAGCTTTCACGGAGCCCTTTCTCGTTCACAAGCACTCCTTCCGTGGATGAGTCATCCGGCGGCTGCGTGCTGTCATTATCCAGGTTCTCTGCGGTACGTCTGTCCTTGCAGGCAATGTTAACATGAGTGAGCTTAGAACCCCGCCAACAACCAATATAATTCCTTATGCAGCCGGAAAATGACCATGCTAATGACACATCTCCGAAAGTCCCAAACGTGCCAAAAAAAATCGCGGCGGCATGTGCTGTCGCTCAGTGCTCAGATCCTGCGTCTGGCTCTTCTGGTCAAACGCCCACGGATGGTCCTGCATGGTTGACTCTGCAATGCGCGAACAAATCAAGTGGGGTTCAATGGGTGTCAATGGGGTCAGACAATGACAACCTGTGTTTTTGTGCTTTGTTTTTCCCCGGAGCATGAGAAGAGTGACACAGAAAGAAGGCAAACGAGCAACTCAATACGACAGAATGTCAAAGAAGGGCTGAAGAGTGAATGATTCATGATTGAAGCGTGCCCGGCTGAAATTAGTAGGCAACTTTGATTGGTTGGACTGAGCTCCGTCGCCAATGGTTCATGTGCTTAAGGTGCCACTAAACCACAACATTTGATGCCAACTTCGGACTAGTCCGGAGGACCATACCCACGAGGCCCATTCGGGCGGTTCCCCTGAAGGAGTTATTCATTTAAAAGTGGGTCCCCTCCGGACCTATCGAGAGTGAACATTACCTCCGTTTCAACCATGAAGGGTCAGGTCCTGCCAGGAGTGCTTTGCTCTCAAAGGCCAAGGAATTGAGGCTAGATGTGGATCCGTCCTCTTTTTCTAGGGGTTCTGTTTTAACACCTGTTTGGATCAAGGCCATGTTTTTTGGGTCCTGTGCCACCAGCTGAAGGGCCAGGACCGCCTTGTGGCATGGCCCGTGCACCAGCGAGAGGTGCACCATGACCTCATTCCGACCAGCGTCGACGTCTCGACGTCCGGACCCTCCGCGTCCGCAGAAGGGTACCCCAGATGTTTATCAACGTCCGCCCGCCGTGTAGCGTGCTTCTTTCCCAAAACAAAGAAGTTGCTTCTGATGTTTGTCTTGCCCCCCTGGTCACTTGTTGGTTCAGGTATTTTCATGACCTCTGAGAAATGAACCCCGCAGTGTCTGCTTATGTTTGGTTGATCGTTTGCATGCTTGTTCGTTTTGCTTGCTTGCTTTTGGGTTTGTTGGTTCAGCGAGTGCCTGTTAAGTAGCCACACTGGCCTTCCAAGGAACGCCCCTGCTTCTTAACTAGGGCGGTTGTTACTCCTGGGTTGACCTCAAGGGGGCTGTAATCCCCCACAAATAACAAAGTGTTGCCAGGCATACATCCTCCAAGAAGCAGCCACAACAAGGCGGCTTGGTGGGCCAATCAAAAGGATTCACGGGATCCGTTTGGACAATATGGGGTCCCTAAAGTTGCAAACCCGCCAGACTACATAATATATTAATATTGGCTATACGTTTGAAATATTTCAGAAGTTTCCTCCGCATTCTGCAGGAAGATTGCAAACATTGGGCTTCCATCCCATCGAATCTCCAGCAGTCGTCGAAAGACTACCAACATATTTCCCCTTGCTCATGGTAACCGCGGACAAGATCATTTACTGGATTCAATGGCCCTTCGACCCCTGTCCATTGTTAAAAGAAGGGAGACGAGAGTTCCATCCTCCACCCCATTCTCGTCTTTCCCAAATGACCTGAATTTGACAGCCACTCAGGTGAAAGTGGCGGGCTCCTTCAAGGACACGTTAAAGGTTCCCTTCAGGTCAACTACCCGAAACAGGCAGCTGATAGAAGCTTCCAGCTCATGAAAGGCCTAAGGAAACACAAAACACGTCATGCCCTAGTTCCATGCACGCACAATTGCTTTGCTTCACGTGAGCTGTCAAGGCAGCCGATCTTCCATCCCCGTGCGCTCTTTACCGACCGAACTTTGCGGCCATCTCAGCGAAGAGCAGCTCCCAAGGCCCAGTGCAGCTGCATGCCTCCCGTGTCTGCTGCACGCAGGTAGAAGCCGCTCCGCGTCTAGCCAATGGCTCCGGTTTTGTTTGTTTCCAGGTGCTTAAGCGTACAAATTCACAGGGTTCAGGATCTCCAGCAGCAGGCCGGGGTTCGTGCCAACGACTTGCATGGCCACGAGGGTCATGAAGACTTTGAACATGGGATTGGCCCAGGAAGTTTCATAGCATTTCGCCAAGAACCAAAGTAGCAGAAAAAGCGTCCCTGAATTCGAGAGGCTGACAGATTCAAGCATCAATCCAAGGATGGCGGACAGCCCAAAGAGCGAAAGGACCGCCACTTGACGCATGGCAGTCGTTGGTCCCAGGGCAAGAGCAAGAGCGGCGACCTGCAAAGTGACGTGTCCGCCTAAGATCGCCCCCGGCATGAACGGCCCAAGTCTTGTACTCATTGCAAGTGCAAGCGCCATGAGGAACAGCGATGCCATTGCCGCACGGCTCGCCAGCCTGTGTACAATGGACCACCTGTCTTTGCCATTCCCCTCCAACCACCACTGCTCGTCGGCATCATTTGCATCTGTATCGAACTCTGCCAACAGGGCCATGCAAGTGCCGTGAAAGGCAATTGTGGCAGCCACTCCCGCTAGAGCATCCTTGACCAGAAGCAGACCCCCCAACAAACAACACTTTTTGTGCGGGTCAGGGGAAAGCTGGTGGACACCCAAAATGGCAACACAGTACGAACATGTTCGCAACATCTGGCAAGCCTGATACATCACGGCCACTGATGTCCAGGTGCTCGCATGCAGCACCATGCCAACGCTTGCCTGCCCAGATCTCACTGCGATATGGGAGATGCCTTAGTTGATACCAATGCTGATCGTGTTCGGGGAGCCATGTGCCCCAAAACGGGAAAAAACCAAAGTAGATCTCCATAAATGCCATTGCAAAAATGGCTATGCAAAAAGGCACGAGTAAACGGTGGCCAAAGTGCTGCAAGTGAGACAGCAAACAAAATTAGGAAGCACTGAAAGCAGTTGCCACAACTGGTTGGACAACAAATGAAGCAACCAATAGGTTGCCCAAACTAGACAAATCACAGAGAGGACAATTCTGGTTGAAGGCTGAGAACTTGGCAAACAGCTTGCCCACCGAACCACTGTTTGGACCACCCCTTCACCCCCCCGACCCAGACTTGATCAAGCAGCTGAATTACGTGAAGTATTTAGAGGGTTTCCCCCTTTTTGGTTAGCCTCAGGGAAAACACATGCACAGGAAACCGGTCCATTAGCAATCATAATTCGGGTTGTTCAGATCAGTCTTAGTCAATCGGAGCTTCCGTAACTACAAAAGGTAACGTTCCCAAAGAAACAAATGGACACCGCCCTCTGCCAGGCCATTTTGCTTCAAGCAAACCTTCTGTGTTTGTTTCCTTGTTCATCTAAGCAAGTCTTGTCGCCGAGCAGCTGAACACGGCGGCCCCCAGCCTCCCGCACAAAAGGCCGCTGTCGGGAGCAACTCGCCCGAGCAAACCGCAGCCCAGTGATCCCATAAACCCGAGCCCACGCAGCACCCGCGAGAACTTCATGCGGTGCCTGGGATGGTCTGGGGGTTGCTGGGTCTGGAACCAACTGGTAGGAGGTGTTGACCTTTTGTGGGGGTTTGGCTTAAATGTCTGTCTTCTTTCCGCACGGTTCCAGTGGTTTCCCAAAAAGGTCCCTCATTGTGTTAACCAACGATAGGTTTGAGTCGCGTGTAGTTAGCTATATGTTCTGTGCTGATCGTTGTTTCTTATGGTGGCAGAGTCATCTCCGCACACAATCTGGGAGTCATTCGCGCATTCAATGCCACCGGGTCATTTGCGCACGCGATGTTGGGGTCATTCGCGCATTCACGGCCGGAAGTGTCCACCCCAGCAAAGGGCGCGCGTACACTAGGCTGGGAGCGGGTGGGGGAAGAGGCGTGCTGCACGAGACAAAGTGGGAGGGGAGCAGGGGTCGAAGCACACTGCGTGTCACTGCGTGACCTGGGGGAGGGGGGTGGTACGTGCGCTGTGCTGGGTGGGCGGGGGGAAGTGGGCCGGGCGTGTTGCACATGACACGTGCAGTCTGCTGGGCGGGGGGGACACGTGCAGTCTGCTGGGTGGGGGGGAGGGGGCCGGGCGTGGGGGGTGGGGGAGTTCACTGACCCATCAATACCTCTTAATCGCACAGGCCAATATGGATAGTTCAGCCTTTCTGTTCTTTAGGGGAGGACATATTTACCATGCCAAGAGAGCACAAGCTGTCAGCCCCGATCACCTAAATCATCAAGTCCATCATCATGCCTGTGAGCCCAAAAAGCATTGAATGCACAGATGACGCCAGGATTGAATGCAGAAACGACACCAGGATTGAATGCACAAACGACCCCGTGACCGTTTCTTATAGGCATTTCCCAAAAGCCGACCAGTCTTGCCAAATCAGAGGTTGCCGAATGGGTCACCAAGTAGCATTGCTTCGCTGCTAGAAGCCAAATCTGACAGCCCTTGAGAGTGCAGTTGGACACTTAATGGATACCCGAACGTCTATAATGTCATAGCAACCGGATCTGGAACAATGGCTCTCTTTTGGGGAGATCGCATAAATCATGTTGTGGCCTATTTAGCAAATGTTAGCAACCAGCAACAACTTGCTAAGTCGGAATCATTGGCCAATTCGGTATGCAGTAGAACAAAAGGAAGGCCAGCGGTGTGCTGTACATGGCCACGACGAAGACATAGGTGCCCCAGCGATCGTAGAAACTTCTCTTGCGCTGAAAGGAGTCGATAAAGTCCTCGAACAAGGCATCCACCTGGAACAAATCCATTCCAGCACTGTGCGCATGTCCAAAACAAACAAGTATTGTCCTCTCTCAACCGTTCTGGGGAAGTGTCGCTTTCGCAGATTTGCCAGGAAGGGGATCAAATTTGCCAATCCTATGTTAGGGAATGGCGTTTGCCCACAGCTCTACGAAGTTGCCATAATTCCTTCCCCGCCATCTATTTGGCTTGTCTGTCTCGCTTGGAGTGCTTGCTTTGCATGTATGATTGCCTAAGTCACCGCTGTTGGACACACAAATAGCAGGCACGCTCGCAACCAATTGAGCGACCCTGGATTAACTAGACCAACAAAGCCCAACAAGGATCCAAACAGGAAAAACTAGTGAAATCTAAATGCCTCTGACAGAGATATCTTCAACACATGCAACACAAAGGATGCCGAACTGGGCAGCAAAGGCGCGTCTATCGCCTTGAAGCCCATGGCGGGTGCGTCCTGCGTCCAACTGAATTTCCGCCTGGAAGAGATCGTTCCAACAAGACATTTATCCCACTTGGTCCAACATCGCTCGAAAAAGGAATGCTCTGGGAAAACACGCAATCCCAGTGCTTCGCAACATTGGAAAACGGTGCCTCTTTTTTGGAGAAAACAATTGGGAGGGCCCCAACCATAGACATTTCGGACACACCGTTTGAGCCAGGATGGTTATATACGTCACGGCTCCCTATAACAAATAAAGATCAGAGTTCCCGGGCCATGATCACTCTTATCATTTCTGTGTTGTTCTTCATCAACTTTCAAGACATCTTGGGACCTCCGATGTCCCTTTCCTGGCCGGCTTTGGGGCTCTCCAGCTTCCAGGTGCTCCAGCCGAGCGCCCAGGGCATCCCCGACGGCACCAGAAAAAGGGCCCAGTGGCCAAGAGCAGTGGCGAAGGCCAGCACTGGGAGCTCCATGGCAGGCGAGGGACCAGCTGCGCGCGTGGGAATTTCAAGGGATCCTTTGGTGGACATCAGAAATCCCGGGGGAAGGAGGGGTTGATGTCAGGGGAAGGGGGGGGGGCATGTTGTGGTTTCCCCCATAAAGAAATCATGGCCGTTCGGAGGGTGCCACTTGCACAGCTGGTTTCAGAAGGCAAAAAAGCAGAAATCGTGATGCTGTGTTGCTTTTGGGGGAACGACCCAAAAATTGGAACTAGAGGTTGACAAAGTTCAGTGGATGATGTGTGCATGTCGAAGTACAATTTCAAATTTGTGAGCATGCCAACATTGGTCGCCCACAAACAGCAGGGCGACTTCGATAGTCCCATCAACGTTCTTGCCGACTAGGTTTGCCTAGATATATTGCTGCTAAACATCAGCCAGTCTTGCTCAATTTGAAGATATGATGGGTGTATCCTCTGAGACAGGATAGTGTCACAGTGATAACTGATTGTTGACCTAGGAATGTCGTGGTAGCATTCTGGGAAGTTGTCCGGATTAGGAACTCCATGAATGTTGAACAGGGCCTAAAAACTTGACCGCGTGGGAATGAGCAGACTCTTCCTCAGAGTTTGCCTGCTCTGCCTCAGAAGTCATACGCCCGGTATGAGGTCATGTATTGCTGTTGAGCCTTTGGCTGCAAACATGATGCAAGCACGGAGTACCATGGCCTATGTTGTTCTTATGCGGGGCCGCAACTGCATGGACACCGAGACTCTGCTTGAGTTTCTAAACATTGCACAAGTGAAACAATTGCGACGTTCCGCGGTAAGTCGTGTCCGACTTGCAATACGTCGCTGTCCAAGCAGAAGTTGGAAATAAATCCTTGCTGTGGGCCGAGAACACATATTGAGGGTTTCATTGAAGCAAAAGGCACAATATGATACCTGTTTTCAGCATTGCTTTGTGGTGGAAACAATAGTATATTTGATACTTTAACTTGTTTCATGGACTCAAAAGGCAGGTTTTGGGAAACCAGCCATAAGCTCCGAGAAGGCAAAACTCGATTCTTTCTCCCCACAATGCACCACAGAGATCCCTTCCGAGACTCCTGTCAACCAAAATGCTGAGGCTGGAGCACTCACAAGCTCCGTCTGCTCGTCGGGCGTTGAACGAGTCTGCAAGTGCACTTGCAGGGCGTGTGCCACTGGCGGCTCTGCATCCTGGTGAGATCTGACGGGCTTCAAAAGGTTGAATCATTGAAGCCCCCTTTTGTGAGGGGTTGAACATCAGTGAAATGAGCACCTTTTGATACCTTTTGTGGGGGAGGGGTCATATTCCAACAGGTTGAGACAGGCCACACGAAGGGCTCTCTTTTTGTACGCTCAGGGCATGTCAATCATGGCAGCTGCTTCTCTTGGATTTCCGCTTCAACACCTTCTCGAGAAAGAGGTGCCCTGACTAAATCACCATGGAGCCTATCAGTCAATCACCTCGCTTACAACATTTCAATCCTGATCTTCATAATTGAAATCTCTCTTCTGCTGTGTCCTTCGACAAATCTACGGTTGCATTCTGCATCTGGTTCTCCGACTGGCGCAAAGCATTCTTGACATAGTTTGCGAACAGCTCCTGAGGCAATGCGTCCGAGCTTGACAAAGTTGCTCAAATGCACTGGGTCAAGCAATTCAGTAGGCTTGAGCCTTTCTTTTTTCTCGTTATCTAGATTCATAGTTTGACATAAGACTGTCTATGGAATCAATAAAGAAACCTTTACTTTCAGGGGAATGCAGACTCAAGATTCCCTATTCCTTGGGCGAATGCTGGGTGGGTAATTGGTTTGTTGCCTGGTTGGGTGGGTATGTAGCTGTGTATGTGTCGGTCGGTGGGTGGGGTGGGGTGGGGTGGGGTGGGGTGGGGTGGGGTGGGGTGGGGTGGGGTGGGGGGGTGGGGTGGGGTGGGGTGGGGTGGGGTGGGGTGGGGTGGGGTGGGGTGGGGTGGGGTGGGGTGGGGTGGGGTGGGGTGGGGTGGGGTGGGTGGGGTGGGGTGGGGTGGGGTGGGGTGGGGTGGGGTGGGGTGGGGTGGGGTGGGGTGGGGTGGGGTGGGGTGGGGTGGGGTGGGGTGGGGTGGGGTGGGGTGGGGTGGGGTGGGGTGGGGTGGGGTGGGGTGGGGTGGGGTGGGGTGGGGTGGGGTGGGGTGGGGTGGGGTGGGGTGGGGTGGGGTGGGGTGGGGTGGGGTGGGGTGGGGTGGGGTGGGGTGGGGTGGGGTGGGGTGGGGTGGGGTGGGGTGGGGTGGGGTGGGGTGGGGTCTGGTGGGTGGCGGGCGGGTGGGTGGGTGAGTTGGTGGGTGGGGCAACGATTCTGAAAGTGGTACGGATGATGATCATGATGGCGATGATGACGATGGCGATGACGATGACGAGGATGAGGATGGTGATAATAATGATGATGATGATGATGATGATGATGATGATGATGATGATGATGATGAGTATAGCGATGGTGATGGTGTGGTGATGGTGATGACGATCACGAGGAGGAGGAGGAGGAGGAGGAGGAGGAGGAGGAGGAGGATGGTGGTGACAGCTTGGGTGGTGAGGGAACATGGCACGCCCCTATAGTTCGTCGCAAGGCAGTTTTGAGACAGCCAAAGCCAAATGCGACTGTACTCCCAAATTCAGTCTCCTTGTGTGAGTTTCATTGATCAATGTTGCGAAGCAACACAGCTGCACATGAATCGTTGACACGATCCCACACACACACACAGAACAGAGCATGGTGGTGTGAACCTTTGCCCTCAGGTCAAGTCCTGCTCTTCCTTGCACAAGAGCTCATTAAAGGTGCCCGCATCCTCCTTCACCTAACGGAAACCGGCAGCACCTTCCAGGTAACCCCAAGAGATTCGACCAAACCTCCAGCGCTGAGCGTGGGCAAACCGCTTTCGACAACTCAACACGAGGCCACAAGGCGGTTCCAGGATATGCCATGGGGCCGGTTCATGTGTCTTTTGGGCAAGTGGGCACCAAGGGCTTGGTTCCAGCCTTCAAACCAATCCAGCGCCCGGCGAGGGATGCTGAAATATTTTTACATGAGGCAGTTTCACCGGCGTTTTAAAGGGAAGAGACCCGTGCCAAAAGAGACAACTTGCAGGGTTCGGACCACCGGCCGCAAAGCAGATGCAACAAACATTAAAATCAGTCTTTAAAAGAAGATAATTATATTCAGAAGAAAATAGGATAATGCATATATATATATATGTATACATATGTAAATATTCAATCAGGAAATGGAGCTATACCTTCCCTCCCTCCGTTTCTCCGAGGCTTGGGCGGATCTGCCGAGGAAGCGGCTCAAGGCCGCCACTTCGCGGCCGTTGGCCTTGAGGAAGCAGCTGCCGCTGCGGTCCACGGAGCAGCTGAGCACGTGGTCGAAGCTGCCTGCGGGCGGCTTGGGGCGGCTTGGGGCGGTTTGGGGCGGTCTTAGGGGGAGATCCCCGCCACCCAAATGGCAGTTCAACTGGTTGGTTTTTTTTGCCTTTAGTTGAGTTGGGGCGGTTCCCACCACCCAATGGAAGCTTAGGGGTCTCTGCCCAAATAGCTTTAGAGTGGTTCGGAGCAGCTTGCAGGGACCCAAGTGGAAGTTGAGCTTGTTGCTTTGCTGCTATAGTTGAATATTCCCCAAAAGATGGATAGTTGCATTTTGGACCAGAGGAAAACCAAGGACCAGAATAAGGGGGAAAGGACCCATTCGCAGCAATTGCAAACACTGACTCTTAGGCGGTTCCTGAAATAAGGGATCCCTTTGAAAAAGGCGTGTAATTGACCTTCGAACAACAACAAAAAGAGAGTCTCCGGAATAAAAAGACCAGCGTCCAACTGGGGTTCCCGAGAAAGTCGAGGAACAAATACACATGTTGGACATTGAGAGGGCAATCGATAGCAGGGCTCGGGCTGCAAATTGTGACAGGCCCATCAAGGCTCCCTTTTGCAGCACTGAAAGCATGGGGCCAAACATGTCCTTACATAAGGGGCATATCCAGGTCGAAAAGTTCTATGCCTAAAAACAAATGTTTAAGCATCTTAAGGCCGTTTGTCTTTGAGGCCTTTTGGGCTGACCCAACATAAGACTCTCGTTGGCGGGTCAGTAGTGCGTCAACCCAACGAATACAAAAACACATTGGACCCCCGTGAAACGTCGATGCTCGCTATGAGGATCACCAATGGAACACGAGAGATCAAATGCATATCGTTGCAAACATGTCGCATTCTGCTGCGTACTGCAGTACAACCCAAAACTGCGCTTGACTCTCTGAACAAAGTGCAATAAGGATATACCTTGTTAAGCAAACAAAACATGTGCCTACGGTTGTGGCTGACAGGCCTTCTTCGTGTTCTATTCAATTACAGCGCTTTGCTTTGCCATGTCCTGTTCCGGCTTGCCTCGAAGCAAAGACACGAAGGCGGTAGAGAGGCCGCTGAGCTTGGTCACCAGCCGCGAAAGAGCCTGCCATGGATTGCGGCATGTTCAGAGCCACCCCTAAGTGATCTATTGTCACAACTCCTACTCATTCTGTTTGATGTCTGTTGCACAGTAGGACCACGGCGGGCGAGAAAAAAAGACACAACTTCTTGCGCGGACGATCGTCGGTGGTCAAACCCCCATAGAGAATCCCATCCCTAGCATCTCCAAGTAGAAGGGGTGACCATGCTACAATTGCCCTTGGGGGTAATTGGACAAGGAACCCCATGTTCTGACTTTGACAACCCCCGAAGCCAAAACATGGGAGGCCATGTATTGTCGGTTCAACATGTTCAAAGCAACGTTCAATCGTCAGGCGAAAAGGAAACAAGCCTCTGACTTGCCTTAACAATACCACTGCACGAGGAAGCATGCAAGTTGCCTGGTGGTTTTGGTAGGCCCGGATGGACGCAAAGAGGATGCTCAAGGTCACCTTGCAGGTGAACCCCATGAAGGTGTACCTAGGCGATTGGCTTGCATAATTAGCGAAGCAGCCAGTTGCTACGCATCCCTTGGTTCTTGGGGGTGATGTTTATGAAATCCGGAAGGTCTGCGGGCTGCTTCAAACGCTGCACTGAGCAGAAGGCACCCTGGTCTGTGGGATTGCCTTTTTGTTGAGGGCACCCTGACCCTTTGGACGCTTGTTTTCTATAGAAGCCCGAAGGAAACCAACCACAGGTTTGAGTCATGCCCATTCGCACCGCTCTGGCACTCCGCGTGTGGATGCTAAAAGGACATCCTGGGTTCCCACAAGGGGTCTCTCACTCGCTTTGGGCAACCAGTCAAAATTCTAGAAAAAACTACTCCAAAAAAGTTTAGTCCCTTGCCCAAACGGTCACCTCTTCAAACCATGACGCATGGAACCAAGGGGCCAGGTGAATTTGCTAGGGACCAAAGTAGAGGCCAACCCTGGCACATTTCAGAAGCCAATGCCGCTCAGATACCCCAGGTGTTCGGTAGCAAAGTCGATGATGCCTGACACCCCGGCCAGGTAGATGACGCCATAAATGCCAAAGACCACGATGAGAAGAACCTGGTTCGCTGCTGCAACTCCGCCATACTTTCCACGGACCATTATTTCAGTGGGGAAACGGCTTGTCTTTGAAAAGAACGTCCCCTGGATATGTGGGAGGCACCTTTGGGTGGCTATCATTTTGTTTGGAGGGTTGTGAAGCGACACCAAAGCGAAACCCATCCACCGTGCAGGTTCCCCCTGGCGCAACAATATATTCACACTGAATCAAGAATCCGAATTCACACTGAATCAAGAATCCGAAAGTCAGGAGCACCAACTTGCTGCACATTCACAACCCTGCATCATTCTGTCAATGGTGTTCTGTTCAAAAAGGAACGGAGTTTGACAATTCGGGGGATCCGATCCAAAGCGCAAGCAATGTCCGCGGTCAGTGCGGACCTGGACTTGCCAGAACAGGGTTGCCATGTCACACAATTGAAAGTTAATTATGGCTTCCTTGTGGGGGCTGGGGTTGAAGCTCACTTTTCCGGATAACCAAAATGCTGAGGTCGAAGGATCACCTGTTTCAACCCCGAAACACGCTTCGCTGGCTGAAAATTCCGGGTTTGCCTTCCCAAGCCAGAGGGCGCATGTGGCGCATGTGGCGCATGTGGCATGGATCATCCCCCAGCTTCAAGACTCCATTGGCAAGGGCGTTTCACGCTTGGCCCGATGCTCAAGCTTTCGGAACCATGCCACTGACTGGTTTGGATGCAAACTGACCTGTCAACCAGATGGCGGTCGGGAAAACAAACATCCTCTTCTGCTTTCCTTTACAGAAAGCAATCCAAGCAATATGTGTCACGTAGTACCTAGTGAGAAAGGCTAATGCTGCTCTGATCTTTGAGAGCCTATCCCTCGCAGCGTCAAAAACGTGGGCACTCAAGGTCCAACTGTGACCTTGTCTACCGATACCTCAAGCTGGCAAGGAGCAAACAGGCTTCCAGGTTTGTGTGGTCCCTCATCACTTCAACAAAAGGCAACTCATCTTAAAACGGCCGGCGGATGATGCTTTCATCACCGACACAAATAACAAACCATCTCTGGCCTCAAGGGTCACATCAACGCGCTCAGCTCACCGAAGACTGAACACCTGCGAAGCCGCCGGGCTTGGCCGAGGAACCACAGATGCTGCGCGGGTACGTCTGCACGGGGTGTCGATGCCATCTTCCATAAAGGAGGACACCCACTGGAGCATTGTCCTGGCGTGACACTAGCAAGGGCCGCGTCTTCGAACATGTGCGTGGTCGTTGTTTTGAAGGTACCCTTTGGGTAGATATGAAGGGAAACCAACAGGAAACCACCACTTTGGGCCTTTGGGGGTCCGCCTATTTTGACACATGCCCATGCAAGGTTCGCCGTTGGCCACACTCCTGGAAGCCCAGCCATAGGCCGCGAAGGTCCCTGCGATGAGCAGCCACCTTAGGGCCGCGGTCTCCAGGAAAAGGGCGGCCCAACTGATCAGGATGTAGGCGTTGGTCGCCAGGATTGGGCCTCGACTTGTCCAAAGAAAATGCCCAAGGAGTGTGAAGTTGTGCAGGGCAAGAAAATGAACCTCAAACACAAACAAAAGAAGTGTACGGTTGACCACTTTCTGTTGCGGCGTCCTTTTGTTCTTGGCCCGAAGACATGGCCAAAGGGAAAGCCCCAAACCTCTCCCGCAAACCCTCCCCAAAGCTCCCCGAAAAAGCTCCCGCCTGTGGCGTCCGAGATGGGGCGCCCCAAGGCTCCGCAGCAGGTGAGGAGCATCAGCAGAGGCACGTTCACCAGCCACTCCAAGTATCGCACCGAGTAGACCACGCCACCCAAGCTGGTGCTGTGCACCTCAGCGGTTGGGAGCAGCTTTGGGGGATGGGTTCTGGAGGGTTCCAGGCGTTCCGGGGATGTTGGGGATACCTAGGCTTTTATTTGTTCCCCAACAGCTACGGGCCAATCCGCATGAGGCTTGTAAGTTATACACACCGAACAGGAAGCCCCGGAACTCTTTCGAACCCTAGCTGGAGCCGCTGAGAAACACTCCGCAGCCTATCCGGACAGAGACCCCATAGCTTTCAGCTGTTGGGAATAAGTCTAACATTTCGCAAAAGAGCTTGATCATCTTCTGCGGGCGTAGTCCCAGGTAAACTGGTGCAAAACAAAACTAATCAGAGGAATAAAAACTACCTGGACATTCCTTTGCGTACTTATTCCTTGTCGTTTTCGAAGTTGAGGCGTTCTGATGGATTCCTTGTCGTTTTGGGAAAATCTAGGCGAGCTTCAGGAAATCTAGTCGTGCCATGTTCGTGTTGCCCCTCGCGACCTTCCCCGCACGCGCCTTTGCACTGACACCTGCTGATGCGCGCATCCTGCTGAACATCCTTATCAATCTGCAGCCCACCCGGTTCTCACTGAACTCGGTACTGGCCAATGCACTTGTGCATTGTGTTCCAAGCTTGGGCGAGGCCTCGGCGTCGCCCAAGGCTGATTTGTTGAAGTAGCCAACCACTAGTTGAATTGGCCGCGCCATAGGCTGATTTGGAAAACTTTGGATATACCCCAAAAAGGAGATTTTGGGATTTGCGGGCGTGTGCGGGGTTTTGCGGGCGTTGTGCGGGTTTTTGCGGGCGTTGTGCGGGCAAAAGTTGGCGCGGCAAAAGGCATCGAAACCGGTCTCAAGCAGTTGTAGCAAGGGTCCTCACGAATTTGCGTAGATTTTGCGCATCTTGGCGCTGGGAAATGTCATGCTTCTCTCTACGACTTGTATGGCCATACGCCGCAATATGATAGCTTGATGCCTTGATCCCTTGATGGCCTGATGCATCACGCAAATCCCGCCCTGAAAAAGGGATGAGTCCCACGCAGGGCCCAAAGGGCTGCAAAATGGCGCATGGTCACTGTCTTCAAACCCCAAGTGCTCTGATGCCCGCAAAGTGCTCAATTTAGGGGCGTTTTCAGAAGAAAGGTAATTTTAGGTCAAGTTAACAAACTACAAGACATATTGTACACGTTGGAATTTCCAGGTATGATGGAACAGAAGCAAACAAGTTGGTTGACCCGTCGCTTGGTCAACAAACCCTAAGGGCTGATAGCGGTTGGGGGGAGCAACCCAACATTTGAGCAAACACGCCGGTACAAGCTGGAGGATATCAATCGAACCACACAAAGGTTGCGTACAAGCCACGTAACCGTTTCTGGCTTCTGCCGGGGCCGATTTGTGAAACATGAACCCAACAGGCAACCACAACGCCCCTCGTAACTGGACTGAGTGGCAGTTTGAGTTTGCCTAATATGTTAAGGGCCGAAAAAAGCGATCTCCGTGAAAAGTGTGGGATGGAGAAGGTGTTTGCGGCTGTCTTATTCAAAACCAGGGATCCCTTTGAACATCTGAACATGAGCCCGAAACGGATCCAACTGGGTCGACAAATGTCGACAAAGCAGATGCCAGGGCCTGTTTTTGGATCAAGGTGTCGAACGCCAAAGGGTCATGATACCTATTTGTTTCCAGCATATTCGACCCCCTGGAACTGAATGGCTCAGTTATGCAACTGCTGGGCAAATTGCTCGGGCCTCCGCCATAGCAGGGGCAGCATAACACGTGACTGACTGGTCCGACAAACACAAAATATACGCTCACAACGCATTGTTTACCCTGAGTCAAATATTGCAGTCTTGCCCAAAAGTCGAATCGGTGGTTTTCTGTGGCAGAGCTTTAATGTAAGGATTGTGGTCAAATATTACTGAACCACAACAAACAACTGATTTGATGCTGCAAAGACTATCTGAGAATACGTGTAGGGCTGCAACAAACAAGTACCATCAATACAATACATGACATACAAATAATTATTCGCTACAACACCAAAACACACACCCACATCCAAACCCATACCCAAACCCAAACCCAAACCCACACCCACACCCACCCACACACACACACACACCACACACCCACACACACCTACACACACACACACCCACACACACACCACACACCCACACACACCTACACACACACACCCACACACACCCACACCCACCCACCCACCCACCCACCCACCCACCCACCCACCCACCCACCCACCCACCCACCCACCCACCCACCCACCCACACACACACACACACACACGCACATAGCAACAACTGATTTTGGCCCGTTCCGGGGGAGGGGAGGAGCAAAACTGATGGATCTTCAAAGCCGCGGTGCCCAGGGCACGGAGGTCCATGCCAAGTAGGTCTCCGCCGTCGACAGGGAGAGCAAGAGTAGAGAGAGGAGGCCCTGGGCGAGGTGGGAGTGGTCCACGTCGTGTGACTGATAAAAAATGGGCAGCTTGTATTTTCCTACTAACATGACACAAAAATTGCAAGATTGAATGTTCCTCCCATCCACTAACATGGAATCTGACGTTTCGGGGTGGTTTGGGCTGTTTTCCTGTAAAAGGGACGCCCTGGCGGATTCCATGTTAATGGACCAGAGTGTAGGGACCCGAAATTGTGGACAGAATTCGCTGTGGATTCACGTCCACCACTCACTTGTGCAGTTCCCCATTAAAGTCTGCTGCCAATGGGAACACTTTGTGGGTGACCAATTTTAGTTAAGGCACGTCACAAAAATGGAGAAACAGGGTGCCGCTGACCAATTGGAAATTGGGAGTGCGTGTGTTCAAGGGAACGCCTTTCAGCTTGGTTTAAAGGGAAATGACAAGGGAGACCCTTCTAGTTTTTTGGGGCTAGGGGCTTTGTTTTGATGCATTCCCATTTGTGTTTCTGGAGCCTGTACCAGAATTAACCAAACTTTTCCGTGATGACCATGTGGCTGCGCTTCATTCCGCCCAGTCAGCCCTGTTTTCCCTCAGGCAGCTAGGAATAAAAGGATACGTTCACTACCCCCATTCAGGCTTCTGATTCGGGGGGGTACCTTTCGGTTGAACATAATCAACGTAGCAGCCGGCATGAGGGTGGTCCAATCCTTTTTCCAGGGCAAATCGTCAAAAGCCAGGCAACCTTTCTGTGCTAAGCTCCCCGACAAAAGCCCACCTCTGCCGGGGCTATGATTTCAAAAGGAAAACCAACTGCCGAACGGGCGTGGGCCGGGAGCCTCGCTCGACCTTCGTGGCGAAACAATGCCCTCAATGATTTCAAAAACAGAATTCATCAGCCGGGAAAACTTCTGCAGGAAAATGGCTTACAAGACATTACGATAAATGTCGTGTAAGTGTGTCGTGGAATGATCTCTAGCTGGCTTCTTGGACGGACAATGGTATCACCAATGTGGGCATGAAGCTCAACTGGGAACCCTTGGCAAAACATCAAAGGGGATTGCTATCCACCAAACATGCCCAAGGATGTTCCTCATGACAGTTCAAATCATTTCATAGATGAATTCCTCACGTCAACACCTAAGAGACACAAACAACCCTTGAAAACCAACCCAATTCCCCAAAACTGCCAAGGTGCCTGTCATCCAACTCCAAAAACGTAAATCTGTCTCCAACCAGGTCCCCGCCCCCTTGCCCCGCCTGCGCGAGAAGGTCCCTGGCCGCCATGTCCTGGAGTTGCCGGGGCGCCTTCTCCGCATTCGCCGCCTTCTCTGCGCAGGAGATCAGCAGCAGAAAGGACTCTCGCAGCAAAACCACCCCCAGACCCACGGCCACAAAGGCGTGGTACCTTTGAGGGTATGCAGCGACGCTCACAGCGCAGGCCTCGGATCGAACAGTCCACTCCAAACCAGATGGGATTCCTGCAACCCCCCCCCACACCAAAAACAGAGTCGGCACAGCCCACAATTGAGCAGGGGAAGTAAATGGGAGTTCGGTTCTTCTCTTGGGTGTCCCCCAAAGAGTCAGTCCGAATAATTCCACTGACACCGAACTGGATGCCAAAAATGGTCGAGTCGAGACCAACTTTTGGCAAGCATCCCCCAAGAGCCGACTCCAAAAGTATCCCGAAACAGTTTCTAAAACGCAACATATCTCGGACACCCGAAAAGCAAAGGGCCGCAACAGGAGTTGCGCTGCGTTGCGAAATGGCAAACTTTGCCGAGTGGCCGGGTCTGCACTGCACGGGATGGCCAGCCACCAGTACCTTACTTGCCACAGAATCTTAGACCCAGTAAGCTTGCGACTACATAGACGGTCTGAACATCAAACAATTGCCAATCGTGACTTGTGGGCAATCCACTATGCAAATATGGGCCATTCAGCTCCCAGCAAGAAGTAATCACCATCTGCAGGGGCCATGAGATGGCCCATGGACTAGTCCATGGCCCCTAGTCCCCCAAAGCCCCCATTGGTTGCAGTGGCTCCCCTGGCTCTCGATCAATTATATCTCATCAGACCGAGGTGCACCCCCAAGGTGAATATGAGACACAGGGCCAGTACGCCGCCCATGCCTTTGAGCGTTGCCATAGGTGACCTCATTCTTGGAAACGGCTACACCCTGGAGCCTTCAGGACACATTTGACATACAAGTATTTTCCGGCAAACCATGCCGTGTCCGACACACTGAAACGTAAACCAACCTTGTGTGTATGTGGTATATGGATATGTACATGCTTTCTCTCTCTCTCCCTCTCCCTCTCCCTCTCCCTCTCTCTCTCGCCATCGTATCCTTCTATCAAATATCAATACATGCCGACATAGCTGAATCTTCCAGGTGTGCATCTTTCCGAGATGGCCGATAAAAAGCACAAATGTCTTTCCGTTGGCCGAAAAGGCGCTCTTTCACTGCAAATGTCTCGTTTCAATTTTTGCTCGACACATACATGGTCGGGGAAAGTGGCTTCCAACGCAACCAGCACCCCCCCCCCGAACAACAGCTTTGTTGGACAGCACTTGGGATTTTTGACGTGGGAAAGAGCAGCTGTTGGGGGTGGAAGGAGCCCCTTCTTTGTGAATCTCCTTGATCCTGAAGCCACTCGACAAAACAATAAGCAATGAATAGGCGGCTGTGGACGATGTGTGTCACCAAGGTCAGGCACATTTCGGCCCACCTACCCAAACCTTTGCCCACCGCTTTTGACTCGGACAAATATGAGCTAGCTTGTGGCGACTCACCTCTGAATTCCCCGATGAAGCGCTCAAAACTCGCGTAACAATGTACTGAAATCGATTGCAGATCCTCTGCCCGGGGCTCGGAATTCTTGTGCAAAATCAGGCAGTGTTGTCTTCCCATTCAAGACATTCATTCAGGCAGTTGTGTTCCTCAGGACGCACACTTTTCACACGCGGCCGCAATCCAATGGTCCCTTTGCCCCAGTGAAACGCTCGGACGACACCAGTGCTTCCAGACTCAGCGTAGCCTAGGCTACGCGGAAGCCAAAGACAATGTAACATTTGAGTGAAGCCCTTGATAAAGAACACAAAAACCCTGGGATAGTGTGCAGTTCTTCACTCCTTCGCAAGATGTTCGTACCCGGAGATGTCCCCCTTTCGAGCACCATCTGTACACGCACGTAAGAGCGTTCAAACGTCGTATACAAACATCCAACCCACATTGCCACTGTTGCCCAAATACTTCCGTGGCTGCGCCTCTAGGTTGAACTGCCTGTAGGTGCGCCGACATTGCGCTTTGACCGCTCTGTGCCGTCAGTCCAGAGCCGCTTTGCGCCTGCCTCCCTTTTCGAATTGAGCAGGCAAGCAGGCAGCGGCGTCTGCCTGAAAAGCCTGGTGCACGTCTTCACTCTCAATTCACTGAACAAAAATAAGTAACCCCTCAGTGAAGGACCCTGTGAGCTGTGATCTGGTTGAAGCCATGGGCCCTGCCCAACCATTCTTCGAACAGATCATAGCGGTTGCTGGACTTGCCTTTTTACTTGGATTTGCTGAACAAAAACCTAACTTTGCCAATCCGCCTCAAGCGATCTTGCCAAAAAGGAATCCATCTTCATGGTTTCCTTTGAGGAAGTACACATCTTTTTTCATTTAGCGCCCAGAGCTATGCGCGCAAGTAGTTGCCTGACAGCTGCTTGATCATATATATATATAGGTATAATATCTATATATATATATTATTGTATATATATATATACAAGATACTCCTGTTTTTTTGTTGTTGTGTGGCGAAATGACACTCCATGTCTGGACCATTTGTTCATCCTGGCAGCCAGTCATTTTCCAAGAACAAGTTGTCAGTTTTCGGATGTTGGAGCTCCTAAAAGTCCCAAACGGGCAACTCTTGCCAACTGGGGATGGTCTGACCGAAGCTTGTTTGAAACCAAAGAACCGCAGGCTCTGAGAATGTGGGGCAATTATGTCCACCGTCAACGAACAACGACTTGTCCAGCAGAATAGGCATCCATCAGCCTTCGTCCAAGTAAGATCATGTTACCCCTGTTCGGTGGTTGCTCTCCAGGCCCTTGGGACAAGTTTGCTGACCCTCACATGGTGTTCAAAGCTAAGTCATTTTTTGGGTTTCGAGGAGCAACTTTAAATTTGACAGAATCATGCATCCCAATTGGACTTCGAGAGTGAAACTTGGAAACGCAGGCCGGTCAGCTGATGCTGTCTTGGAAAGCAACCTTCCGCCCTGGCACGAAAGTGCGTGAGAGGAAGGACATGACTATCACGGCCCTGAAACGAAGGTGATGTGAAATCAGGACCCCTGGTTGCCGCTATCTTGGGCGGCTATCTGCCTCTGGCCTTCCTTTGGTTGTCCGTTGCGGACTTGCACCCTGTGCATGTGGGGCTGTTTATTTTCTTTCGCCTTTGGTTTCTCTTGAAAACCCAGACAACAGAGAACAGAGGGCACTGCCTCACAAAAGAGCGCACCCATGTTGCGAACTGGACATCATTCAACTCCCAGGCAGTGCAAGCCGAAACCGAACCAGTCCAAAGAAGCAGCTTGTTGGCCTTCAGGAATGGGACATGTGAAAGGTAGTCACCATTCAGGATGGTGTCATCTGGAAACTACACAGAATCAGAAACCAGTCATTTGGAGGAGTCCTTGGTTTTAACACACACCCTATTTGCAACCAGTAGCTTACATTGGGCGAAGGGAAGCCTTTATGGGTCCTTGATGATTGCTGGGGAAGCTCAGTATAGAACGCTCAACACTGCGCAACACGACCTCTCACCAGTCATTGGGGAAGCGACGAGTCCCGGCCTGTGGTCACTTCGGCCGGCAGTCGAGACGCACCTTGCCCAGCGGCTTGAACTTAGTGTTGTTCAATGGAAATATCCCAAACCTAGTGGTTATACATAAGTTATACAGGGTACACATCAAAAGGCGTCCCTATATAACTCCTATATAGGCCTATAGCCTATAGGTGTGGTATGTCCATTTGGGGTATGTAAGTTGGCCCTGAGACCCTGTTTGTTGGACCGTTCAAACACCTTCAAAGGTCGGTTCAAACCTCTTGCATACAAGACTGTTTGTATTTTCTTGATCAAGGTCTTGTCCAACTTCCAACCCCCCCGGCTTGACACGTCAAGGGGGCTAGGGGACATCGGCGGATTCCCCAAACCATTGGGCAAACGGAGTAAAGCAACGGCTGGTTTCACTTGCCTGGTGACCACGGCGAAAAAATGGGCATCGCTTTTGTTGCTAGCCATACTGCTTTTTGCTTTGTGAGCTAGTTGTGAGGGTCCGTTTGTCGGAAGTAAATTGGGAAAGGGGAAAACGGCGTTCAAGATGGTTTCCCTCGCAGTTTGCCTTGAGCTTTGCTTTCGAGAGCCTGAACACCCGGCTTCGGGGGGAACACCGCCCCGTTTTCGCCGGTCGTTTCCCCCGGATTTGGCCGGGTCTTGGCTTCGAGGGCAGGGCGGCGGTCTCGAAGCACCCGCTGGATCTTCATCGCGGCCACGTGGTCCTAGCGACAACAACATTTCCATCCCAAAGAACATGACATCATGAGGCGCCACCGCCTAGAAAAAACATTTAAGGAAAAAAGATAACCAATACTTGCTTAAAAACAAAAAGCAACGGAGAATCCACCAAATCCATTATTTCAAGCAAAAGGAACATTCAAACAAAGCAAGCACTCTAAACTGAAAGATTGTCATTCAAATAAAGATGCATTCAACCAAAAAGACATAAATTGAAAGATGGGTGCAGTTCCGTTTTAAGTTCTGGAGGAGTTCTAAGGAAAGACAGGACAAGCACCATTGGGGGCTCTTTTTTGAGACCGCCCAAGGGCCTCGTGACCTCATTTGTTTGGAGCACATTCCAAGTTGACAAAATTTGAATGGAGAGGTCTTCATGGACTGAGCTGGTCCTTGATGTAGAAGCTGCCTTCTGCCTGGCCGCCACACGGAGTGCCCAGAATAACTTGGATATGGGTCAAAGTTACACCACCACGGGACCGCAGGTTTTAGTCCATGTGTCCATTTGCCACGACTCCATGTTGGGAACCAATTTTTGACCCGCAGCCACTGTTGGTTCCACCAACAT